GTGAGCTATGGTTTTGGACTAACAAAACGGCAGCCATGCACTCTATTTCTATATATATTATTCATTTCTTTATAGCTAAATAGGTGTGCAAATGGCTTAATTTAATTTGGGTGAATGAAAAGTTATTGGTGAGTCATGAGGGAGAGGGTGGCGGATATGAGAGGTTTAGGGTGAGTCTGGACTTAATTTATTAATTAAGGGGTTTAGGTGTCCTAATTAATTGGTTTAGAGTAAATCAAGTAACTAAAAATATTTCTTTTCATTAAATTTCAGAAATCCCTCTCCCTAAACTTGAAATTTTCTTCCCCAAAAATGTTACAGCAGTGATACTTCAAGACCAGCCTATACTAAAATGGTCATAACTCTTTATATATAGGTCTAAAAATTATGAAATTTTACAGAGAGCTAGTAGACACATAGAAAAATAACATTTATTCTTTAAGATTTTCCAAGAAATCACTATGAAGTTCTCAAATAAATCATACAAAATTCAAGCAGTAATATAATCCTTAGTACATCGATTTTTTTTTTTTTTTAATGGGGGTTACAAATTGTCAAAAAGAAAATAGTTGAAAATTTCAATTCAAAGTTTCAAATTTCAAGCATATTAATTTTATTGGTTTTTTCTCCATTAATTTTTTCATCATTGTGCTTAAAGTGTTATCATTTTTATTGTTTTTTACCATGAACTTTGACAAATTCATTGCATTGGACTTGATCGTTGCTCATCAATTTAAGTGTTTTTAGCTTATCTTAGTGGAGGAAGATGGGTTTGAAAGTAAAAAGAGGTTGAGGATCTTGAATAATAGGAATTGTAGCAAGAAGCCATTAAAGATTGAATTTTAAAGACAAAGAAAGAAGATAGAAAAAAGGTGTGGTTTGGAGAAAGGAAGATGCTTAATTTTTCTAGCCATAATGTGCAATCAACGTCGAAGAAATGATCGAAGAGACCTATTATTTACTAAAAAATAATTCTTAATAGTCTAAGAAATTTTTTAAAAGGTCATGAGTATATATGAGTTTGATCAATAGTTCAAAGTATTTTTTATGTAATTTAACCTTATTAAAATGATCTTTTACTATTCGGAATTGTTGTTTCTATGGTTGTTGCCAATATATCTTTCAAACATAAAACAGTTCATGATAGTCAAATAATTTTTTTGAAATGTTATGGGTATATATGAGCTTGACCCATAGTTTATGATAATTAAATAATTTTTTTGAAGGTTAATTTTTCTAGCCATAACATGTTGTCACATGCGATCTACGTCATAAAAATAATAAAAAATGCCTATTATTTACTAAAAAATAATTCATTGTAGTAAAAAATATATAATTTTTTTAAGTTATTGGTATTTATGAGTTTGATCAATAGTTGGAGTGTTTTTATGTAATTTAGTTGAAAGAAAATGGTTGAAATTTTCAATTCAAAGTTTCTTCTTTCAAGTGTGTTATTCAATAAGGTGACGTACCAAACTCAATCAAAATGATTTTAAATTTTAATTAATAAAATCAATTTACTTGTGTTTGTTTCGGAATCTTTTGTTTGGTTATTTCAATTTCATATTCACATATTTTGGGAAGAGCCTGCTTCCCCTTCAACTAATTTCGGTTTTTTTTTAAAAAAAATTTAATAAAAATCAACTTTCTTGTGTTTATTTTCAATTTTGTCTTTAGTATTTTTACATTTAAATTTTTATTAATTTTCTACAGTATAATGTTTTTATTTGTATATATATCATTGAAGTTAATTAACAAATTTGATGAATCATTTAATTTATCACGACCAAAAGTGGACCGAAGAGTTAAAACCATTTAAAATTACTAATAAAAGGGTTGATAAAGACCAAAATCAGATAAAGACATCAAAAGTTTTACCACTCCCTTCAAAGAGGCATGTGGCTGCAACACAGGAGCGGTTATCCATTTTGGATAACTACGACTGTAACCCAAACATTCCCTATTCTAAAACATCAAACAAGAAAAAAAATGATAAATTGTTTTATATGTTTTATGAAAAGTGGGTCCCACAAATTAACTCCTAACCATCATGCAAAAAAAAAAAAAAGTTCTATGTTTTATGTTTTATAAGAAGTTGCATGAATTGCTTGAATAGTCGTTGTTTCTTTATCATTTGGCTTTCCTGGAAAAGAAAAGAAAGAATTTGTTCATCCTTCTATTTCTGACACGTAGCTAAATAATAATTTGACTCGCCTTTATAATTTTGGCTCAAATTGACCTCCCAGTCACTAATTTTATTCAACACTTTTGTTAATTTGATTAAAGATGAATAATAATAATAATAATAAAAAAATTATATAATGAATAAAAAAACTAAACATCATATTGTTTTATTAATAAAAACATATATGAATTATTAGTAGTTACAAATATAAAAATATATAAAATACAATTGAATAAAAAAATTTCAAAAACATCGAGAAACACCCTATTCGTTCTTCTAGCTATTTTTTTATATAATAAAACTAAAAATTATCCGCATATTTCATCATGTGCTCTTGCTATTTTTTTAACATGATCTCTTTATTTATTTTGTTTTTCTGCTCTAGATAATTTCTTAACGTCACCTAGCTATCCGATAAGATTCTAGTCAATTTTTGGTAATAAATGCTGTGTCATATAATAGCAACAAGTGCCAAAAAAAATAAAAAAATAAAAAAATAATAATAAAATGAAACTTAAGAAAATAGAAAAAAATTATTTTTTGAAATTAAAATTTTATTGACACATGTTGCTACTATCTAATATGGGTTGTCACTTGTTATCGAAAAAAAATCATATCAAATAGGATATATTAAGAAAAATATCTAAAATAAAAGAACCCGATAAATAAAAAAACTATATTAAAAAAAATATTAAGAATACAAAGATGAAATATGTGATTAATTGGTAAAACTAAAATGGTGAGGGATATGAACTTAAACTGACATGTGACTTTTAATTTTTTTTAATAGAGTTTTATCTCTCCTAAAAAGTGGTATTTTTTAAATATATTTTCTCAAGGTGAAGCCTTTTTTTTAAAAAAAAAATTCGAACTAAAAATTTTTTATAAGAAAAAAGATATTATCATTGTTGATCGAGTTGCAGTAGATTGACTAAATCAAAATACTTTATTCCATATAGATCCATGTCTATATATATATATATAATCGTTATTTATTTTCTATGTTACAATTTTTGTTGTTTTCAACGAATCAAAATAACCTCTCCCATCCGTCCTTAGTTTCTCACTCTTTCTCAGACCTTGGATAAGTTTATCCCATGCTATTACAATTAAGCTCAAACCAAATTAGCCATGAACACGAAGTAAAATCATAATTTTTCTGCCTATCTTCCAGTAGGAATTACTGTCACGTGTTGCGAATCTTCTTGCTTTGTTACAGATTGCTATTCGCGATTTATTTAGACAAAAAGGAAAGATGATTAAATATTAATTTTGGTTTTAATTAGAGCTTTATCAATATATTAAAGAAACATAAATCGACTATAAAAAAGAAATAATAAATAGCTGACGTGGAAAATACAGGGCATATGGCATCTTACCCCGTCCGATTCCAACTCTAAGTCTCTATAAATACGCCTCGACCGCCCTTCTCTCTAACTTTGCGAAAATTTCTTGAATTAGAGAGAGTTTCTTGAAGAGATTGAAAGGTGCGTTGTTTGTACTTTCTTTTTCTCTCGTGTTCTTTGGTAATTTGGGTTTCGTTTTGTTGAAATTGAAGACTTTTTTGAGGGATTTTGGGTTTTTAGGGTGACTTTGTGGGTTCTTGATTCTGTTTTTGAAATTGACGGATCTTGTTTGAAATCTAGGTTTTCGTTGTCAATTTAGTTTTAGTTAATGTTTCTTGTGTAATTGCTTTGATATAATCGCTAATTTTTAATTTAATTTACGGAGTAATTGGATTTGGGATTTAGGGTTTTTTCCCTATTTAGTATTTGATTGAATTGTTTTTTTTTTTTTTTTAACGTATTTAGTTGCCTTGATTCTGTATTAGTTGTAATTATGTCAACTCTATACTTAATTTGTTAAGATTTTATTGTTGACTTTTAAGATCTGTTGAATTGTGGTTATGCTTGGTTTCTGAGTTAATTCAAGGGAAGGCAGTTTTGCTCTTGACCAAACATATAAATTCTATATAATGCATGTATTTTGATTATGACTCTCTTTAAATTTTCAATTGTTTTCTTGGAGACCGAAAAAGAGGGCATGCAAAACCCACATGAAGTTGTGTTAAGGAAAGCTGAACATTTCTCTATTTTAGGCTGTTTGGATGATTGTTTCTGGTCGTTTGGTTTGTTTTCTATAGATAGCCGTACCAAGCAAACTGCCCGTAAGTCTACTGGAGGAAAGGCACCAAGAAGCAGCTCGCTACCAAGGTACTTTCTCTCTTTTATCCCATTAGATTCAATGAGTTGCTTGTTTCTTGGCCTGTTTAATTTTCTGTAAACTGTGGTAATTTGTTTGTTTATTGAAGTTTCTGTCTTGTGTGATAATAATAGGCTGCCTGTAAGTCTGGCCCAACCACTGGTGGAGTTAAGAAGACTCACTGTTACCGCCCTGGAACAGTTGCTCTTTGGTGAGTCAGTTGTTATATTTTATTTGTACAGTTACTATTTCTGACTTGTATTCTGTTGATAATTTGCTAAATGTTTATTTGTTGATGTTATCCAATGCAGCGAAATTCGTAAGTATTAGAAGAGTAATGAGCTCTTGATCAGGAAACTCCCATTCCAGAGCTTGTTCGTGAAATTGCTGAGGACTTCAAGGTATATTATCTGTAGTTCATAGTCTTGTTGGTGTTTATTGCTGATTGGATTTGATTTTTTTATGCTAATTAATTTGCCCGTGGCATTAAAGTACATGCAGATTCCTCTTATCAGTCCCCCAATAAAAAAATGAAACAAATATAAGGTACTTGCGCTTTGCCTTTCTCCTTCCCTGCGTCCTTTCAATTCCAAAAACAACGCAAGCCTCTGACATGAGCACCACTGCAACAACTGCAAGAACAACCACCACAATGAGACCTCCACCGTCTTCCTCCACAACCACCACCATCTTAGAAAATCCCACCCAACAACAACAACAACAACAACAACTGCAAACCCTTACTTTGCGATTAAATCGGCCGAAAAAGAAAGTTTCATGGAAAGAAGGCACTGTAGACAATGAGTTTATGCAGAAAAAAAGTTCCAAAATTTGTTGTATTTTCCACAAGGAGAAGCCCTTCGATGAGGATGATAGCGATGATGATTGCAGTCATGATCATTCCGATCATGACCATGAGTATAAATCAGACTGTGCTGGCTCTTCTTCTAAAAACAATGGTGATTAATTGATTGCGGTTTTGTTTGTTATTGTAAGTTTAGAAAAAATATATATATTTTTTAAGAGTATTGTTGTAATGAGGCTAAGAAGAAATCAGGAAATTTTAATTTTTCCTGTTATGGTGAATTAGTGGTGCGTTTGGCTATTCTCAATATGAATTTGTTTTTTTTTTAAATGAATTGAGAATTTTAGTATGATCAATGTAAATGTCCTTTTTTTATTATTTTCTTTGTCTGATTGGTGAATTCTTTTGTTATTTTTGTGGGTTTGTGGTAGGTTTTGTTTCACTGTTCATGAGACGAATGGTTTGATAAATAGAAATGGTTCTTGATGAAAAATTTCATGAATATTAGTGTGGCAATCGAGGCTCTATTAGCGAATAATCTACAAAATTCTATTTTGAGTATGGATGTTAATTATACAGGCTGAAAAGAAAGTTGGGAGATTGCTAATCGTTAATTCAACCCTGTTTTATGTCGGTTTGGTGAAAATCTGCAGAACCGGTTGCTTTCAGGAAGGTGTCTTGTTTTGGCTTTGAACCCAACTTGTGTTAGTTAAGCGTATCTTATTCAACAATGTTGCTTCTCAGAGCTGAAGTGTGCATGTTGATTGCTTGTTGAAAAATTGCATTTTCTGTCAAGAAACAGAAAATGAAGGCTGCTGTCTTTGGGCATCCAAAGTTTGTTGCTTGCTTACTTTTGATGTAATTAGCATAATGTTATGGTTGTTTCTATGCAGTCGTATGGATGAGAATAGCATATCGCTCCTCACACCACTTATTAGCTGGATATTGATGTATCTACTTTTGCAGTAATGTTGCTTTATTAAAGTGAGGAGTGAGTGACAAATTGTGTGGATATTTATGTCACAAGACACTTCCATTTTCCTTTTGAAACTACAGGTGTAATATTTTGAACCTACGAACAAATGAATTAATACATATTAAATGCATGTGAAAATTATTCCGTGTGTATAGAAAAATTGCTAGAGGAGTGTTAGAATGTCCGGTGCACTTAAGTGAATTTTTCTATATTTGATGAATATTTTATTGACTTTTCTGTGTGTGAATAGTGTATTTTTTATGCAAAAAAATTATTTTGAGTGCCTAGATAAGTGCATAAAAATTATGTGATTGATGAATAAATTACTATAGGAAGTGCTTCAATTTATGGTGAAAAGATATTAATTTTTGAAAGTGTGTGGAATTAATTATGTGCATAGGAATTCAATTGTATAAGGTTAGGGATCTAATTGCATAAAATTAAAAGTTTTGACCCTCAAATGATTGAAAAATAAACTTTAGGGGGCATAAAGATATTGGAAAAGCCTTAGGTAAAGACCAAAAGTAGCCAACTGAAAATTTGAGGGGTTTGAATGTGGAGACCCAATTGAAATAGTGTGACAAATCAAGGGACCAAAATGAAAATTTTGGATAAGATTTTTCTTCCCTTTTCCTGCCTCTCACCTTTAATAATTAAGTGTAATTAATGACTTTGATAAATGGAGAGATAAGATTAAGGAAGGATGGATAGTTGGGATTTAAAGAAAGATGGATTGGAATGATTAAAACAAATGAAAGACTAGGATTAAAAGAATAATTAAGAATGGAGATTAAACAAAATGAAGGGTGAAGATCAAGTCAAAACAAGCAAAAGTCCACCACTCACAACTATAAATTTTGACCTAAAGGAGAAGAAAACAAATGTTGAAAATTGAAAAATAAAGGTAAATTCTTGTAAAAATTTCCTAGTAAATCATAAGCCAATTCCACCTAAATACCAAAAACACCCTTAAAACACTTTATTAAGCATAGAATTATAGATAGAAGATCAAAAAATCCAAGGATGGAAAAAGTGGAAAGTGGTTGAAACTAAAGGAAGGAAAATGGGAAGAAAGATTTTCAAGAAAATTCAACTCCGAAAATGACTATTTTGGAGCTCTTAAAGTAAGTTAATCTCATCCACATCACAAGAACATATTATTTGGTGTGAATTGTTGGTTTTGCACCTTTAATTTAAAGCTTGATTGAATTAATTTCATAAATTAGTATTAGGGTTCTTAATTATGTAAAATTGAGGGAAATGGATTAAAGGTTGTAATTGATGAAATTGAAGTTGGAATATGCTAATTGAGCATAAAAATAAGAAGGAAAAATGCAAAACTACTCGCCTTATTCCTAGAGAAACTTTCGACTCAAATAGTAGAATTTAGGGTTTAATGTACTTTTGTTTTATTGATGTTTAATTGATTGGAAACATGTTATTGTATTATAATTAGATGATTTAGCATGAAAATTGACCTTAAAATAGAAAAATACACTTAGTTTCACTTAGGCATACATTCTCGCCTAAATAGTAAAAATTAGGATTTTTAGTACATTTGGCCTATTGATATTTAATTGGTTTATTACATGTTATTGAAGTATATTAAGATGATTTAGCATAAAAATTAGCATTAAAATTGAATAATCCACCTAGCTCAAACTAAGTGCACATTCGACTCTAAGGTAGGAAAATTAGGGTTAAAAGGTTGATTTGTGTATTATGGCGGTTAAATGGTTTACATGTCGCAACTAATAGTTTCATGATGGTTTAATTACAATGCATTTGTTCAAAGTGCGTAATTAAGTATTTGTGGTATGATTGCTTACGCTTATGGAAATTGTGAGATGGATGAATGAATTGGTGCAATGCCTTATTGCTTGAATGGTGTTGCAAATTGTGTTTCATGATTCATATGAATATGTGAAATGTGATGTTATATGATACACCGTGTTATATATTTGTCTTGATTGAATTGTGCACCTTGATTGGAATGTGATGCATGAAAAGATAATGGGTTTCAATGCGCATCTTATTATATTGAGGTATGCAATTTTCATTACATAAATGCACACATATTCATGGCATGCATTACATTGATTCATGGGATTATGCATTTACGTTAAATGCATATACAAGCCAAAATCATGAAAAAGATTTCTTTATGATTTTTCAAAGGCAAAGGAAAGGACTTCATAGTTTTTATGGTCATTGACATTTCCTTCGAAGAATTTTTTTACTAAGAGAATCGACGAATGGCTCTAACCGACGGAAAGGGCAAGCCATTTCTTTCGTCGAGGGAATTGGTAATTGTCTCGGTTGAAGAATTTCTTCCTTGGTGGAATTGGTAAAGGCCCCAATAGAAGAAAATGACATTTTTCGCCAAAGGGAATTGGTAATGGCCCCGACCGTAGGGGAATTGATAATGGCCTCACAGGAGAAATGCTCAAAGAAAGAGGGCCGAGCATGTATAGACGTGTATATTTAAACGTTTGGCGGGGCACATTCAAGCACAAAAAAGATTTTTCAGAATGAACATGACACAGATTTCATGGAAAGGAAATGATTTCGAAAGGACATGGAAAGGATTTCAAAGTGCCTTTACTTTCAAAAAAGCATTTCATTTGCATATATACATGGCATACATGATTAACTTACGAAGCAATAGCTCACCTAATTCTTGTGATGTAGGGATGAAGCATATAGAGTGATGGCTATGTTTTTTATAGAGCTTGTTACTCGAAGGGGCTCCTTCATCTTTTCACCAAGTGTATCTTACATGCTATTGCAAGTCGGACCTACTTCATGTTATTATGCTACTTGTTCTCGGTATCTTGGTTTATGTGTTAGGTATGACTACTTTGTTGTATGTGATAGAAAAATATTGAATATGTAGATGGTTACCTAGAAAAATGAAAAATGGACACGGAAATAAATAAACCATTTATGTAGCGAGTGTGGTACTAAACTGATCGTCATGTAAGAGATAAATAAGTTGTATGTCTAACAAATTTTGGACATAATAAATATGTAATAACATAGTAATGTGTGGTCGTAGTTACTCGTAGTTTAATATCTCGCATACTATTGTATGATAATAATGACACGAGTAGTCAAATAATCTTATAAAAGATGTTAATTAATAAAGAAAAAAGGTTAGACTATCAATTAACGAGTATCGATTAGATAAATTTATTTTGGCTAATAGAAAAAGAATTTGATAAAATTGAGAGACATTGATCCAGATTATTTCAATCTAAACTATTAAAATAAAATGTTGGAATGGAAAATTTTATTAGTGCATTTTAGATTGGAATTTGTAAGAAAAGTTAGACCTATTAGTTATTTAACGAGCTTTCATAGCACAAATCATACTTAATAACACCATAGGAAGGGCACGATGCCTTGTGTCTTATATTCACTATGAGGCATGATGATAATATCGTCATCTTAACTAGGTCCTAGGTCAAGGGTGTTATAGACGTTGTATCAAAGAACGGTTTACCTAAGAATAACGAGAAGGCGCAAGTAAGATATATGGGAGATGAACTTCAGTAACAAGTAAGTATATTCAATGATTGAAATGTTCTAATTGTTTAGTGAGCGTGAATGATGAATGTAAAAGGCATGATGATTTATTGTAATAAATTATTATGCTTGAATGCTTGTATGTATGAACGATTTGTTGTAATACAAGTAAATGTTATGAGTGGATGCAATGTGAATGTTAATTATGAATGATATGATTAACATGAAAGTTTAAGAAATAAATTGAATGATGTGGTTTGCATTGTTTATACACGTGAATTGAAGAGAGAAATGATGTCGTCAAAAAGGGTTAGTAATAATAATATTAGTAATGGCATGGGGTCGAGCCAATCGGTTTCAAAATGAGAGACGAAATTAATGAAACTGCTTAGAAGGCGATAAGGAATGATGGTACAACAATAGAAAAGGCATGAGGAATAAGTACAAGGATAATGGAAATGCAATGGCATGGGCCGATTGAAGCACGACCACCATAGCGAGTCGAAGTGTTGAAGCGCTTCCAAAAGTTTAACCCAAAGAAGTTTAGGAGTGATCAAAATCCCATCATTATAGAAGAATGGATTGAGTCATTAGAGGTTATTTTTTAGCACTTAGCTATAAGTGATGTAGATCATATAGCATGTGCTACCACTATGTT